TAGTGTTGAGAACTATGTGGAACATAACATGACAATAATTTTTCAGAAGGTGTTTGGCGTAAGTAAAAGTAGAAAAAAAAAATTTGGGACTATTCGTATAAAAAATAGTCCCACCCAAATACGTGGAACTAGAGTGAACACATTATTTTCTTTTACTCCCTGGACAGAAATACTCTTATTAGGAATGCTTCTGCAGCCTCGTCTCCATCTTTCTTGTCGCCTCATCTCATCTTTCTCGCTATACATACACCGGTAATCGATTATCTTCTTAAGATAATTATCCAAGTAATTCCGAGTCTAATTAGTTTCACAGTATCTCATCTGTAGGGAATTCAATTTCAAAGGTGCGATGTTTCTTTCTCTACTTACCTAATCGATTTCAAGTCTCTTTCTCTCTTTATGCACCTGCATCGATATGTTAATTAGTTATCAGTTGATTTAAATATTTTTTTCTCTAGTTATACATACTTGTATCAGTTGATTTCAATATTTTCTGTCTGTCGTTATACATACCTACATCTGTTCTTTCTAAACTCAATTTTCATGTTAATGCCATATATGTATGAGTTGATTGTTGAAGATTGTTGCCAATATTAATCAAAATCAATTGCACACACAATCATATTATAGATTACTGAAAGAATATTTGATTCTTTCTGTAGCTATCGTTACCTGCATCTACAGTTGTGTTACATGATTTGTTGATTATTTCTTGATTCCTATATAATTACATGTAATGAAAATCCGTTTGTTTTATTTGGTTGTTTAATCTGTAATTCTTGTCAGGTTAGAATATAAAATGGATTACAATTTTTTTTTAGGTTGGTTATAATTGATCATCTAGAAAAAAGAATAATATTCATCATTATCCATTGCCCTTCTTAAATTAGAATTTATCTCATCATCATCATCTTAAATACATAAGATCCAGGGAGTGCATAACAGGGAATGTGCTACACCTCCACTGCAGTACACGTATTCTTGAAAGGGCAAAACAGGAAACATAGAAACATTATCAGGGATCTTTATAAATTTAAGGATAGTATTGCTTTTTTTAAATCTTGTTATTTTTAGAGTATAGCAGAATGCATACCAGATGCTATTAGACTCACCTTTTGGACTAAATTGCCCCAAGCTTTTGTTTCTACCTACTTTATGATAAAGATGCTTCCTGTTGAGTGGTTGTTGACTTCTTGGGAAGCTTAATTAAGCACCTTTTTCTTGTCTAGATTGTTACTTGTCAAGTTTGTCTTGTTCTTTTCCATTTCAAGTTGTAGATACTAAATTTAAGAAGAAAATGCCCCTGCTATTCATTGTTGTTACTTATTACTACATGTGGAGTTTATGATGTAAATGCCCAGTTGGACGGAATTGACCATGTATTTTGGTATGGGTCTCTTTTGCATTATGTTTATGATGTAAATGCCCAGTTGGACGGAATTTTGCTATTCATTGTTGTTACTTATTGAGTAGTTTCCTTTTTATCTTTTATTAGCTTTTGTATCTATATATCCTCTTGATGTCATATTAATTTTTAGTTTTCGTTGTTATTTTTCCATATTCTTGTCTCAAACATTTTTCTTTAAAATCAATAGAACTTGTTTTTTACTTGTGTTTTTATAAACCTTGTAGGTATGGATCGTAATCATTTACTCCTATTTGTAAAATTATTGGAGAGTTATATTCAGTTGTTGATGTGATGAGGCTAGTGATATATATATATATATATATATATATATATATATATATATATAATTATTGGAGAGTTATATTCGGTTGTTGATGTGATGAGGCTAGTGATATATATATATATATATATATATATATATATATATATATATATATATATATATATATATATATATATAATCTGCATATCTAAGTATTAAATATATGGTTTTACATGTAACTTTGTTTGTTTTGCTAGAAACATTCAAAGAAAAACTATGTTGCGAACAAACCATTCCCGGCATATGAGCGACTAGCAAATGTTTTTGGTAAAGATCGAACTACAAGTGGTATGGCTGAATCGGCGGTTGATGTTACAGAAAATCAAAATATTGACAAAGAAGAAGGAGAGTTTTCCATTGTATAATTCTAATCCTTAAAACACTGCAACTTCCTGTAATCCAAATCCCAAATATTCGGCGCAAAAAAAAAAAAAAGCGGTATTTGAAGAAGTAACATATGTAATTCAAATGGGGTTAGCTACCGTATCTGGGGGAATCCAGAAGATGACTAGGGCTATTACGTCTTCTACTAATGACCAAACACAACTAAAAACTATACATGAAGAGTTGAAGACCATGGAGTTGTCTTCTTCAGAAATCATGCGAGTCTGTTTAAAGTTTATGAAAAAACTGAAGTTGTTACCAATGTGAAATAGCTTGGACTCAGCTACCAAACCACTTTTTTGCGAAGACTATATTGAATATGATAATTGTATTTTGTTATTTTTTTTGTTTAAAATTACAGTTTTTGGAAAACATTTTGGTTTACAACTTTGTTAAATTTGAAACAAATTTGGTATTAGAACTTCTTTTAGCATGAGAATTTTAAATAATTTAAAAAAAAAATGTTTGTTTTGAAGTTATGTATGTTAAATAGAGTTATTATGAGTATTTTTTGCAAAATGGTAGTATGATCATTTTTACATCTTGTTCTTTCCAGTTCTATTGTTACCAAACAGTTTCAGACAACTTGTTTTGTTATGCTCAATCTTACCAAATGCTATACAAATTATTTTCATGTTCTGTTCAATCTTGTTCAGTTCCACCCGGTTCTCCATTTGGCGTAGAGTAGATATTTTCTTGGACTTTTGTCATAAAATCCCTTAAGTTTTTCAAGAAATGTTTGGTTTTACCCTTTAATGACTTTTAGGTTCATTAATGCCCGAAATTTACCTAAATTTTTGCATGGTTAACCTTTAATCATGTTACCCGGTTCTGTAGCCGGTTACCAAGAAACGCGTCGCGCCACATAGGCATTGAGGGTCTGACGAAGCGCCACTTAGGCGTTGATGTGGCTGCCTTTTTGTTATTTAAAAAGAGGAGCATAAATAAGAGGAAAAGGCAATGACGGGGTTCGAAAAAAAGACATCCTAGCATAACTTGCAAGCGCCATACCAATAGGCTACATCGTATTTCGTGTATATCCTTGTCATTTATTTCTATATAATGCGAACGCCTGACCCTATTACTATAATTGCTTTGATTACTATTCTTATTCTTATTCTTCTTCTTCATCTTATTATTATTATTATTATTATTATTATTATTATTATTATTATTATGTTTATTTTTACTTTGATTATTACTAATCTTATTATTAATAACATTATTTATTCTTATTATATTATTATTATACATATTTTTTTTCGAAAGAGATATTTATATGTATTTTTATAAAAAAAAATGTTTTTATATTTATACATATTTTATTCGAAAGAGATACTTATATGTATTTTTATAAAAAAAATGTTTATATAATATATATATATATATATATATATATATATATATATATATATATATATATATATTTATATATTTTAAAAACATATAAATATATATAAATATGTTTATAAATGTATAAACACATATAAATATGTTTTTAAAACATTAACATATATCAATACATTTTTAATTTAAATAAATACATATAAATATGTTTTTAAAATGTATAAAAATGTATAGGTAGGCTTTTAATGTATCAATAAGTTTTATATATATATATATATATATATATATATATATCTATATATATGACATTTTCATTCATTTTTTTATATATTTTTATACTTATAAAACATTTTTATTCTTAATGTTATAGATAAATACGCTAAATATGTTTAAACAAGTTTATATATATATATATATATATATATATATATATATATATAAAAACGTATTTATAAATATTTATGCATTTATAAATTCAATATATATATATATATATATATATATATATATATATACCCTTAAACTATCTTTATACATTTAAAAAAATACATTTAAAAACATAATTATACATTAAAAATATATTTTATATATTGAAAAACATATTTATAATTATGTATAATTTCAATTATGATATTAATAATAATGGTAATAAGAATAGTAATAACAATAAAAATAACAATAATACTAATAATAATAATAATAATAATAATAATAATAACAATTCAATTGTATTTTAAATTATTTCAGCGTTAAGTGTGATATAAGTTATCAGACATTTAAGACGCAAAAGGAGTTCCAACCTACCGGTTAGTTCGTTTGTTGGTGAGACCTATGATGTGGACTGCCACATCAGCGCCTAAGTGGCGCTTCGTCGGACCCCCAATGCCTATGTGGCGGTGCACGTATGTGGCGGTAAACGTTTCTTGTTAACCGACTGCAGAACCGGGTAACTTGATTGAAGGGTAACCATGCAAAAATTTAGGTAAATTTTCGGCATTAATGAACCTAAAAGCACTACTAGAAAAACAGTCTTTTACGACGCGCAATGCGTGTCGTAAAACGCTTAGACGACGCGCAAATGCGTGTCAAGGAAGGCCCTGTCATAACGAAAAATGACACACTTTTGCGCATCGTCTATTTACGACGCACATTTGCGACGTTCCTTTTCGACACGCAATGCGTATCAAGGAAGGCCCTGTCATAAAGGAAGACGACACGCATTTGCGTGTCGTAACCTTACGACGCGCGCGTTTATGACACGCAATGCGTATCAAGGAAGCCCCTGTCATAAAGGAATACGACACGCTATTGCGTGTCGTAATATTACGACGCGCCTTTACTTCTCACAATGCCTATCATTAAATCTACTGTGATAAACGAAGATGAAACACATTTGCATGTCATAAATTCCAGCTGCCAGTGACTATACACCTTTACGACGTGCATTTACGACACACATTTACAACGTGAATACACATAATAAAAAAACAAATATATATACGAAAACATTCAACTTCATCTAAACGTCAAACCAGTTACCTAACAACATTACATGTCAGGTTGTCAAGTTACCTAAGTAACATTACACAAAGTTAACAAAAACATGTACACCACATGTCAAAATACCATACCAAGCATTACACCACATGTCAAAAGACCATACCTAGCATTTCACTGTTAACCAAAATATTGTTTTGCAGATACAAAATACCACCGATAAATGAAGCCTTTAACAAACTCCGACCATTCTTCATGTATTTCATCGATATCATCAGCTGCGTACTCAACTTTTCCACCCCCGAACTGATAAAAAATTTTCATATTGTTTCTATTATAAAAAAATTGCATATTAACATATTCTTTAACAGTAAGTTATCTGTCCAAGAATGGCACATGTGCCACCAAGCACAGAAAGGAAAAGGGCATCAAGGATATGCTAACATAAAAAAAATAAAAAATTACAAAATTACAAAAACATGCAACCAGGGACTAATCTGCAATAACATAAAAGATTCGAAACTTACCTGTCCAGTAATAAAAGGGGTATCAGCAGCAAGCTTGGAAGCAATAGGCCTTGGAGTACTTACATGCCAAGTCTGCAAATAAAAGGTGCATCAAGTATAGAAAAACAGGGCAACTGATATTAAAAAAATTAATTGTTAATCATTAGAAAAAAGAGAAATAGAAAACCTGGAGCATGGTGAATTGCTTTTTGACACCTTGGAATTCAAGCTCCAAAGTAAGTGTCCTGAACAAGTTAAGTGTTAGTTGAAACAAGTCTCAAGATGAAAACTTTATATAATTTGGATGATAAATCAAATCATGTTATTTGTTATAAAGTATAGACCTTTAATGAATAATGACCAGCTAGTGCAACGTAGGTTATCTTTCCCATAGCATCAGGAGGTAAAGAAATGTGATGTTCCACTAGACTATTCTTAAATACAGTCTGCATATAAATAAATGAGAAGAAAGTAAACACCCAATGATTATGTATAAAAGTACTCTTGTATTTCTATAAACAATCAAGAATATTATGACTTACAACATATAGATCGCCACCTGTCACAAGGTCTCCCTCTCACCTGGCACCAAACCATCAAATTATAACTAATAAATATATGCATGTATTGTTGCAGGCCCCTGTTTTACACAGCAAAACAGAGCAAAGATGGAGAGTATTTTGAAGCAATTTTCTGATTATCTTCTCTCTAAAAAACTGGAACGTTACATGCTACTTAAGCTACTAATCAGCTAGAAATGTGGAAACATGAAACCACTTGATTACTACTTCCTAAAGAAAAGGGAAAATGGCCAACATGGCTTTTGACAACTTCCTACGTAAATAAACTGAAACAAACACAAATGAAATAAACATAAATGGTCCCCAAACTTTCTGGATTACACCAACAAATTCCCCCTAATCCAGAATGCTAGATGCTCTTCATTCCAAGCATGTTCCTCATTTCCTTGAACTTGTTCTTTGCCAGTGGCTTAGTGAGAATATCAGCTTGCTGTTCCACACTTGCAACAAACTTAGCAATGACGTCTCCTCGTTCAATGCAGTCTCTAATGAAGTGAAAGCGTGTGTCTTTATGTTTGCTGCGTCCATGGAAGACTGGATGTTTGACCAATTCGAGTGTGGACTTGTTATCAATGAGTATTGTCACTGGACCCAACTTTTCACCTGTTATTTCTTGAACAAGTCTCCGGACCCATATTCCTTGGCATGTTGCCAAGTTTGCAGCCATGAATTCCGCCTCGCATGACGAAAGTGCAACACACTGTTGCTTTTGAGAGCTCCATCTCACCAGATTTTTGTTCAAGTAAAATACCATGCCACTTGTGCTTCGCCTATCATTCACATCCCTTGCATGATTGCTATCAGAGTATGCAATTATGTGCTTCTTTTCTTTGCTTCGTGTGTACACCAAACCAAGGTTGAGGGTTCCCTTTATGTACCTTAGGATTCTTTTCACTGCCTGATTGTGTTGTTCGGTGGGCCTTTCTAGGAAGCGACTTACAACTCCAACAGCATAGGAGATGTCAGGTCGTGTGTGGCACAGATATCTCAGCCCTCCCACTATGCTTCTATATTCAGTGGCATTCACAGGTTTTCCACTCTCATCCTTGGTGAGCTCCAGGTTATTCTCCATTGGGGTCTCTGTTGGGTTGCAATCTAGCATGCCTGCCTTTTCCAATAGTTTTCTTGCATACCCCTCCTGTTTTAAGCTTATTCCACGCAGCTCTTGTGATACTTCAATTCCCAGGTAATATGACAGCAACCCCAGGTCACTCATCTCAAACTCTTGATTCATATCCTTCTTAAAGAGTTCAACTTCTTCCTTGCTTCCTCCTGTGACGATAAGGTCATCAATGTAGACCCCTACAATCAATGAGTTATTACCTGTTTTCCTTGTGTACACTGCGTATTCATGAGCACATCTAACGAACCCAAGCAGCTTTAGGTGTTTATCTAGCCGTTCGTTCCATACCCGGGGGGCTTGACGGAGTCCATACAAGGCTTTAGATAGCTTATACACCATCTCCTGTTTGTTTTTCTGCACGAATCCTTCAGGTTGGGATACAAATACCTCCTCTTCTAACTTGCCATGTAGGAAGGCTGATTTCACATCCAGGTGGTGAACAAGCCACCCATTGATACCTGCGAGAGCCAAGATTATTCTCACTGTCTCCAAACGAGCCACAGGAGCAAATACCTCGTCAAAATCAACGCCTTGCTTTTGAACGTAACCCTTAGCTACTAACCTGGCCTTGTGCTTCAGAATATTACCAAGAGGGTCTCGTTTCACTTTAAAGACCCATTTGAGACCAATGGGTCTTCGATCACGTGGCAGTTTAACTAACTCCCATGTGTTGTTTCTTTCTATTGCAGACAATTCTTCTTCCATTGCTTTCACCCACTTGCTTTCTTTACTGGCTTGAGCGTATGATTCTGGTTCCTCATGGTCAGCTGTAAGTAACAGTTCATCCTCCTGTCTGTAAATGTCTGACAACCTCCTGTATCTTTTTGGGGCTCCGCCTCCTGTTGATTCCGATGAGGTAGTGTTTGAACCCGTTGAGCTGTTGGGTGTGGTAGGGTTTTCTTCTGTCAATGGTAATGGGCTGTTATGGGGACTCTCTTGGGCTAGGTCCACTGAGTCAGAGTATTCTTCATCATGGGCTTGTTGAATTGGGCTCTGTTGTGAGATGTCTTCGTAGGTTACATTTCTCAAGTGGCTGCTACCTTCCCCATTAAAAGATCCATCGTTTTGTTCTTGGCTTATAAAATCATCACCGTACCCTTCAATCACAAACGGCACACCAAGGTTATCTTTAAACTTGACTGAGTTGCTCCATGACCATTCTCTATCTTCCTCGAAGCAGACATCACGACTTACACAAATTCTTCCGGTGTCGGGGTCAAGTAAATGATAGGCTTTGCTTCCAAGCTCCGTTCCCAAGTACACCAATGGTTTGCTTCTGTTTTCGAGTTTCCTTAAATGCCCTCTTACAACTTTTGTGTGAGCTATGCAGCCAAATACCTTCAGGTGCTCCAGATTTGGTTTTCTTCCAGACCATGCCTCATACGGTGTTTTTTCTTTCAGTGCTTTGGTTGTCACGCGGTTCAGTACATAGACAGCATGTCTCACAGCTTCCCCCCACAAGGTTTCAGGAACTCTCATGTGTTTCAGCATTGTTCTTGCCATTTCAACCACCGTCCTGTTTCTTCTCTCTACTACCCTATTCTACTGTGGGGAGAACGGTGCTGTGAGGTGTCTCTTTAGACCAGTTGCCTCACAGTAAGTGGTAATTGGTAAAGTCTTTAGACGTGAACTCACCACCACGATCAGTTCTGAATGTTTACATTCTTTCACCTGTTTCATTCTCTACTAGGGCCCGAAATTTCTTGAAGATATCAAAGGTTTCATCCTTTGTCTTCATCAGGTATATCCACATCACACGACTAAAGTCGTCAACAAGAAGTAGAAAATACCTATTCCCTGATGGCGTTGCAGGTGTGATGGGGCCACAAAGATCTCCGTGAACCAGCTCGAGTTTCTTGCTTGCTTTGTACGAGGTTTGTTGTGGGTATGGTGTCCTTGTTTGCTTTCCAGCCAAGCACCACTCACAAGGGCGAGAAGGATGGATGATTCGTGGCAAACCATGTACAACTTCATTCTCTGACATTAGTTTAAGGGCAGTGAAATTCACGTGCCCAAGTCTTGCATGCCATAGCCAATCTTGTTGTCTTCCTTCTCCCAGCAAGCATACACCCTTCACCTCTTCCAATGCAATTTTGTACAGCCTATTTTCTGATCGTTTCAACTTCATGAGTAATCTTCCGGTTTGATCGTGAATCCATAAGAACGACCCAAGCATCGCAATTCTGTCACCGGTTTCTGCCAGTTGACCCAAGCTTATGATATTGTTACATAGGCTTGGGATGTAGTACACCTCACTTAGTAATCTTTGTTCTCCATTATTGCATTGGAAAAGAATCGAACCCTTTCCTTCTATTCTCACTTTTGAGCCATCTCCAAAACGAACGTACCCTTTTATTGTCTTGTTTATCTCACGAAACTTTTCTTCCTCTCCTGTCATGTGGTTGCTGGCCCCATTATCTAAGTACCATATCTTGGATTTTGTAGCTTCATAGCCATTTGTTTTCAGATTTGGAGTCACCCGCTTTTCATTCAAATACACCTCTTCATGCACTTCACTCTTACTGTATGCAGATAATAATAGGGCAGGTTCTTGGTCATCAAATCCCTGCATCAAATTGGCTTCCTGAAACCTTTCCTTTCGTGGGTTCTTGCACTCTGCTGCATAATGGCCTTGTTCTTGATAGTTGTAACACACCACTGTGCTTTTGTCTCGGCTTGTTGCGTTCCGTCCTCCATCGCGACTCGACTGTGAAGCTCCACCACGATGACCCCCACGGTTTGAGTTACCTCTCCCCCGGCCTCTCCTACGACCATGTGAACCGGGATTGTGTTTCCTGGAGTCCCGTTGTGATGATTTCTGGCCTTCATCCTTCTTCTTCTTCGTTTTTTCAAGCCACTCCTGATGTGTCAGGAGTAACTTTCCTTCGTTAGAGTCGCTTTGACCTCGCACCCGTTCCTCATGTGCTTTTAGTCTCCCTATGACCTCCTCAACTGTCATAGTTTCTAGATCAGCAAATTGTTCTATGGTGGATGCGATTTGCACAAACTTGTTAGGTACTGCCCGAAGCAACTTCTTGACCACGTATGCCTCTCCCATTGTCTCTCCTAAGGCACGAACGTTGCTAACTATGTTCGTGACTTTGGCAGCAAACTCATCTACCGTTTCTGACTCCTTCATGCTCATCATTCAAGTTCAGTCTTCAACGTCTGAACCCTAGCCGTCTTCACCCGATCAGCCCCTAGATACATCGTTTTCAGAGTTTCCCATGCCTCCTTTGCTGTCTGCTTTTCTGCCAACGATAGGAGCATATCTTCTGGAATACCCTGGTAGAAAGCCGCCATTACCATCTTATCTTTCCGGACTTCAATGACTGTATTGGCTGTTCTTGGTTCTACTGCCTCCCAAACACCTTGAGCCTGCATGAAGACTTTCATTTTGCTTGCCCAAGAAGCATAATTACTTCTCGAGAGCATGGGGTAGTGTAAAGTGATAGAACCATCTTTGTCATTGTTGTTTCCCGTCATCTCTGTCACTCGTGGTTGATACTTGGGCATATACCAGATTTGCTCTGATACCAAGTATTGTTGCAGGCCCCTGTTTAAACAGCAAAACAGAGCAAAGATGGAGAGTATTTTGAGGCAATTTTCTAATTATCTTCTCTCTAAAAAACTGGAACGTTACATGCTACTTAAGCTACTAATCATCTAGAAATGTGGAAACATGAAACCACTTGATTACTACTTCCTAAAGAAAAGGGAAAATGGCCAACATGGCTTTTGACAACTTCCTACGTAAATAAACTGAAACAAACACAAATGAAATAAACATAAATGGTCCCCAAACTTTCTGGATTACACCAACAGCATGAACATGAAGATGAAACCTCTGGGAAACTTTATAACTGTAAATCACCTAATTTTTTGGGTTGAAATTCCCAAAGGATGTCATCGTCAAGTGATGGGACAGATACACCATGTGGGATGTACACATCATTTGATATTTTTGCAATAGTCTTCAGAGGCCTCTAAAGAAATGAGTTGATAAAAGGTATATATAAGTAGAGTAAGAAGCTATTAGAAAGATTAAAGATTTGTTGTGCAATAAGTGTAACAACTTTTAAATCATCAACAAGAGAAAAAAAAATATTACAAACCTAAATACCATCAAATATGCTCCCCAAGAATCCTGGACCCAACTCCACTGACAGAGGCTGAAGGTAAGTGAAGAGGTTAGTGCAATTGATTTCCAGATTATCAACATCTTAAAGCAAGTTACAATATGCAATAAATACCTTGTGTGTCCATAAAACAAGATCATTCATAGTCAATCCAGCTGTCTCTTCATAAACTGAAATACAATGGACACTTTATTCTCAATGTGTAGAAACTTCAAGATCCTTCATGTTGTGTATGCATGTGTGTTTGTGTGTGTGTGTGCGAGAGAGAGAGAAGACCAAAATACCTTGGATTGTAGCAAAATCTCCTTCCAAATGAATAATCTCTCGAATAAGATTGGCATGTCCAACACTGACAAGTTCATACATAGCAACACCAACCATTCTGTCTGCAATGAAACTGGTCCTGATACCTGTCGCATTGCAACCAGATTAAAATTAAGATTATCAGATACTCCTCAAAGTACATAACATCGACAATCTTTGCTCATGGTAATAGCATTGTTTTTGAAGTAAGAAGCACTGTGCATAAAGAACACAACCATGCCCATTCCTCATTTCACACTCTTCCAAAAATCATATATGACAAGGAAAACACAGGCAACTTGATACATCAAAGTTGATGAATGGGGTATCATTAATAAGGACATAAATAAGAGCATAACAAATTAATTAGAATCATAAACACCAAATTTGTTACTCTAAGAATTCATTTTACCTGTATAGATTGAAGCCTCACGAGCAGCAACAGGCATGTTAGAGGTGTTGGCCACAAGTGTTGTACGTTTCATAACAGACTCTTCACGCCCATCAGGTAATGCTACTGTCAATTGAGGAAAGTCCATCAGAACCTGCACAGTTTGTATAAATAATAAAAATTCACATAGGGTTAGGTTCATGTGAGACGGCCTAACTTTGTGAGACCGTGAGACGCAATCCTAGCCACTCATTTAGTAGATAAAAAAAACATTTTTAAAATGCAAAATAATTGAAAATTTTCGAAAAAAAAAATTTCAAATATTATTTTCAGAATTTATAATTTCCAAAAAATAAAAATAAAAAAATTCCAAAAAAAATAAAAAATAAATAAATAAATAATACATTTTTTTTACATATTCTAGTAGAATATTATAATATTTTACATATCTGAAAAATCTAATACAATATTCTAACATTCTAAAAATCACATTAGAATATTTACAGTGTAATATTCTATTAGAATATTTCACGTATATTAAAAAAAAAAAACGGTAATTTTTTTTATTATTTTTATTATTTTTTTATTATTTTTTATTTTTTTTAGGTAATTAAAGTTCCGAAAATAATAATTAAAAAAAGAATTTTTGGATTTTTCCTTTTATTTTGCATTTTAAAATTATTTTTAGATTTGGTCTCACGGTCTCACAAAATTAGCATGGTCTCAAATGAACCTGAACATATATATATATATATATATATATATATATATATATATATATATATATATATATATATATATATATATATATATATAAACAAACACACAACATCATTTTCTCTTTCTCAACAACTAACGGGCACAACAGTGTCCGAATTTGAGTACTTCATAACAATTAATGGTGGGAGTGAATATAATAATAATAATAATAATAATAATTATAATAATAATAATAATAATTATAATAATAATAATAATAGTTTCAGCATGTAATATTTAGAATGAGTAACTGACAAAATAATATACCTTGGATAGAGCTTGACTGATAACAGTTTTCCCACAGCCAAATGCACCAGGAATGGCACATGTGCCACCAAGCACCGAAGGGAAAAGGACATCAAGGACGCGCTGACATAAAAATAAATAAAAAATAAAAATTACAAAAACATGCAACCAGGGATTAATCTGCAATAACATAAAAGATTTGAAACTTACCTGTCCAGTAAGAAGAGGGGTATCAACAGCAAGCTTGGAAGCAACAGGCCTTGGAGTACGCACAGGCCAAGTTTGTAAATAAAAGGTGCATCAAGTATAAAAAAAGAACAGGGCAACTGATATTAAAAACAAGAACTTTGATCATTAGAAAAGAAAAGAGAGAAAAATAGAAAACCTATATCTACTACTGTTAAAAAAGGTAAGTGTATTTATATTTTATTAAGGAATTATAAGTACATTGTTCTTATGTATACAAAAATGTAAGTATGTTGCTATCGTCAATAAAATATATAAGTATAATGTTATTACATGTAAAAAGAGTAACATATGCTGTTATTTCCTGCAATTTTGAAAAAAATGTATTCTTGTTTTCTCTTTCTCGTTAACAAAAGAAAAAATGGAAAACATAACAAAAACATGGTAGAAAAGTGTGAAGAAAACGAATTAAGGAATCACCAAAAATGGCAACAATGAAGTTTGGTTTACAATTTACATACATCTAGAAGATCAAGCTAGCGGTTTGCAACAGAAGAAACTGCAGAATAGCATTCCACTAAAGTTGACCCGTGAAGGAATTTGTCAAAGAGCTCAGCCTGAAAAGAGAAGTATATCAAGAATTATGAATAAAATACACAAAAGTCAATGTGAAAAAAACCATAAAGTCAAACAAGTTTGTTAGAGAAGCAGAGTGTACTTGGACAACTTTAATGAGCTTTAGTTCACCCCATCTCTTTATCTAAAAACCTTTAAGCTCAGAAAGGATACCATCGTCATTAAAGACAACATACATTTTTTTAATCAATTTATCCTCTTCTTTAGAAGTAGGGAGAATCATTGCCTACATTCACAATAAATATCATGATTAAAAACTAATAACTGTCAAAATATGAGGTCACTTTTGGGATTCACATAGTTTACCTTATATGGTCCATCCACTTCAAATTCAATTGAGCATTCAATGTGTGTTATGTATGTTCTGTTGATAGGATCTTCGAGAGTCTGATGAAAAAATAGAAAATAAGATGTTTGTAGTTTGTACAATATATATTTCTAATAAGCTATACAAAATATAAAAAGAGGATTTATCCAACCTGGTATTGGTCATTTGTGTTGTTTCTTGCCACATCAACATTGAGTATAACACATGCATATGAGATTGTAAACTTCTTCTTTGAGTATCTGTGATCAAATTTTCATAAAAGGGCATAACTGTCAACATCAAATCATGATGATCATTTTCCAAATGAATAAGTAGGTATGAAAAAGAGGATACTTAAATTTAAGGGTAAAGTTTTCCGGGAATGACCCTGAAAAAACACACCAGATACCATCTGTGTCTAATTCTAGTGGTTTTCCAAATTTTAACAAGTTCATGGGCATTCTGGATTATTTTTGCACCAGTATATGTAACAACTCCATCCATTTCCATTGAATACAATCTTGCACCTCTGTAACAACATCATTTTATTTTTATATTAAATAATAAAATACAAAATCAATATGTACAAAATGAAAATTAGTGTAAAAAACATACTTGCGCATATTCCAAATACATTTATGAGCCAGCTGAAGAGAATCATAAAGAACCACCATATCCTGCAATATTAATAAAAAATAAATAAAATCCCTAAGCACCAACAATTATTATTATTTACTACAGTATAAGATGTTTTAATGAAGATAAAATTACTTGAGCTTCTTGGATCTTAATAGGATTTCCACTAGCTTTTGCTTCTGACAACTTCCCTTTCCATAATTTATTAAGTCCTTTGTATTCATATCTTCTAATACGAAAACTATAAAGCACAAAAATAACATGTTATAAAAACAAATACAGACAATTATATTATCAGTCTAATTTGCAAAATTAGTTAAATGCTTGCCATCTGACAGTATTAACATGAAATGCATTTTCACGCATGGAAATTTCTGCTTCTCTAGTTTCAGTATGTGGCTTCTCAAGCACTCGTTTATACGCATGTAACACATGCATCACTAAATGTTATGATAAATGTTGATATGTCATGTCACATAAAATTTAAAGTTTATAACATAAAAAATTATATACCTTTTGACAGTATTTCTTTAGACGTTCTTTCAACTTTAGTTGTTGGTCCACTTTAGGCAGCTCAAGGAACGACTTTGATTTGAAGCCATCAACAGCAACAACCTCATATTCACCTTTTATTTCCACCAGAGACGCCACTTATTAAGGGTTCGCCGATGATGTATCTATGGCATTTGATGATGTATTTAATAATTGGACTTCCTGAATCTGAAGAGCTGAGAATCAAAACAATAAAATGTTGAAATTTGGGTAAATAGTTGCAACCGAGAACAATTTGAATGGAATAACAGATTGGGATTGGGAACAAAGTGTCCTCAAAGCTAGTTATGACAGATAATGGTTTTCAAGATTAAAGCACTTAATAGAAGACAATTGTGAATTCTTAGGTTAATTAAAAGGTTTTGCAAGTATATTATATCACATTATGTACAGATAATAGCTTTTCAATATGACAACAGTAAGCGGTCAACTCAAAACCTCAATCAATGAAAACATATTCATAAAAAAAGAAACAAAAATTATCAACGATCTAAGCATAGCAAGTTCTTTAATGGAAGAATAACCTAATAGTAGAATATGAACCTGATACGAAGACTCGGCTGATTGACCATGGTCGATCTGGTACCCACCAGCAACGCGGTTCTGATTTTACTTCTCGATCGCGACCAGGACGATTGGGTACCCACAATTGCTTCTATATAAATTAATTTGACAAGGAATAAGAGCCCAAAAAAGTTCGACTTCATGTATGATTTCAAGTGTAAACCATCATCTTAATGAAATGTAAGATACTGGTTGGGGGAGAATCGTCACAGAGGGCAGGAAGAATGGGAGAAGGAGTTGTGGCCAGAGATGGGTGGTATGAGGGTCTACCCATCGGTGGATGGCCTTGATCGGTCTACCAACAATGTCTAAATGTACGACCGTCGAACAAGAACCAGAAGTGCAAAGGTGAGAGGACGATATGACTACAGGAGTGCAAGGTAGGAAGAAAGGGAGCATGCTTCGTTTTTTTCTTTCTAAACCGGAGGCCCTTTTTTGTAAGTCGATACACGTTGAGGGTTCACGCACGTAAAGAGAAGGTTGAGCAGAAGAGGAAAGGAAGGAAAGGGTACTTGCGACAAATTTGATTAATATCCTTATCCGATTTTTTGAAGGATTTTGTGAGATCTGTAGAAGAAGGTCAACTTTGTTCACCGTCGTCGCCCTCCTCCTTCCCTTAAGCCACCATCTCAAACGTTGGTCGATGTTTTGAGAGAGAGCAATGGATAAACTGAGCTCGAACCAGGGGATGTGTGAAAAACCTTAAAATCGCGATTTTGTGCTCAAGAATACATGGATGTGCGTTTTGTTAAAAAAACCCTAGTTTTGCTAAAAAAAATAATGGACGTGCCTTTTCTAAAAATATTATAAAGTGACACCTCTGCACGACACACATATTTGTTAGGTGCCCTCCATGTTTTCTTTTTTCCTTTTTTTTGACACTTATTTTAGGGCACGCAAAAATGCGCGTCCTAAATCCTTCAAATTTTGAGGGAGCTGACATTATTTTTAGGACACACACTTTTACGTATCATAAATCCGTGCATGTCATGTTTCGCGCGTTGTAAAAGGCTGTTTTTCTAGTAGTGAAGTTATCAAAGGGTAAAACCAAACATTTCTTGAAAACTTAAGGGCTTTTATGACAAAATCCATCTTTTCTTCAAGTTTGAAGGGCTTGAGCGCTTGACGGTTGTATATGTCGGCGACTCTACTCCAAAAAGTAGTCGCAAGGTTGTCATTCTGGTTTGGATCTTCTGCTACATCAATCCATGAAGCCTTTTTTTTAATATAAATATAAACATTCATTGCTCATTTAATTATCATCGTACAATGAGTGAGATGGAAAACGGGCAACAAGTTGCGCCGCTAAGCCTTTTTGTATGGTAAAACTAATTCTTTTAAAGACTACATCCGAAGATCTAAGGATATAACATTGCTATGCATGATCCGTTGTACTCTATTAAGAATCTCTACCGCATCCGGCGCGAGGAAACCAAACGTATCAATGCAAATGGTATGAACACGTGTTTATTTTCCATGCACGATTTCTCATGTTTGGTGACTTTGTCTGTAGCTGCTTTTAAAGCAGTCTGTCCCGCCGTGAAACCCCCAGCCCTCAAGCCCACGAGTGGGGATACGCGTATCAGGTCCACACATGCGTGTTTCCCTCCGACCCTTCCAAAAATCAAAATTTCAGCCGGTCTGAGAGTTGACCTTCCTTCTGGCGGGTCAGTCAAGAAATTAACAGGTGTCTCTTTCTTAGCGGAAACCCCGACACGCGTAAATATGTCAAACAAAACATCCCTAACCAAAAAAAAATTCATGAACGAGCAAGTAAGATCTCTTCTTCGGCTAAACAATAGCCATTTTTAGTGATGAGGTGTGGAAAAAAAAATGGAAAAATAAGAAAGTGAAGAGAATAGAATTAAGCGGATTTAAATGGGGTGACGAGTGAATAATGATGAAGGTATTCATAGTTGAAAATAGAGGGTTTAAAATTTGAAATTAAAAAAAAAAACGGTTATATTTTTCAAATTGGGTATTTTTTGGAAAGAATGTAATTTTTGAAAAAAAGAGTTTGAGTAATTAATGGGTAAAAAAAATACAATATCTCTCATCGGTGAACCATCGCCGAGTTGCCGAGCCGAGTTCGGCATGCCGAGGACTCGGCCCGGTGTTCGCCGAGATCACCGAGTACATTCTCGATTCAACACCGAGCAACCTAATTTATCTAGTTTGTATAAAACGGAAGCCTATGTAGTAAATCATCAAGGCTACAAGTCTTTGGTCATTTTATGACGATTCTGGGGTTGGACAAGGAATAGTCCACTTTTTTTAGTTATTGTTTCAAAATAGTCTAGTCCTTTTGAAGGTTTATAAATACATTTCTTTTTATATTTTTAGTTCTCAATGCATATTTAATAGGAATTCATATATAAAGCTAAAAATAAACACTATTTAATGGTATAGTTTATTGAAAATAATATTTTGTTTTTATTAGTATACTAGGTGTGAAACCCGTGTACTATACAGGTTGATTAAAAAAAATATGAAGATATAAACTTTAAATACATTTTTTATAGAAAACATTAAATATCAAAGTGTAAACATTAAGTATTTTTTTAATTTCAAAATATATATACAAACAAAATAATGAATAAATAAATAATTCAATTTATACTAATAAAACAAACTACTATAAAAATAATTATATTTTGACCATATAATATTTTTTTAGTTTGTCAATAAAAAGCAACAAAGTTTGATTTTTTTATATAGATCATTTTGCCTAAAATGGCAATGAACTTTAAAAGAAACATGTCAATTTTGAATTATATGTATTGAAGGAAACATATTAAAATTTGAAAATATAACGAAACAAATTAATGACACATTAATTACTTTCTATAACCTAAAAATTAGATAGGTAATTAAGAAAATGAAAAATTACCACAAAATGACAAGTGAAAATTAATTTCTAAGAATTAACCACAAAATTAAATGTGTCCAAATACATAAAAATTTGACAAATGACAAAAAGTTTTTTATTTATTAGGGAGGATAACAAAAAATGTGGTATAAACAGGGTAATATATAACTTGAAATTATAATTAAACAATTATAAGATTTAATTTATTTTATAGTATGGTGGTGAAATTGTATAGATGGGTTAATATTTTGGTAGACTTTGCATAGGACACTAGACATAAGACACTTTTAGAAAACAAATTAAAAAAGTAAAGCTATATATGTTACATTAACCTTTATAATATGAAAAATCAGTTATTCATTTTGTCAATAAAAACCTACTAAATATTTCATTAGAAAATATCTAAATACGCTCCTTAACTATAATAATATTCAAATCCAAATTTATTGAATTACTCGTTAACAAACACTTCAAGATATTACTATGTAAAGTCAACAATTTTACATGGTTTATTATTTTATATTTATGATTAAGTATTTTAGATATGTAATAATAAATGAAAATCAGTTTCAATTTATTAGACGTGGACAGTTTCAATATATTAGATTTGGACAGAAAAATGAGTGAAATGATTGGAGTGAGGTGAAGTTGCAACAAAACTTACGGTTGAAAAATGTACAAGTGTTTGTAGTACAAAACATTGCATGTTGCATGTTTCATATTTTCTGTCAATAAATAGATTTAAGATTTCTTGCATCGCCGATAATATCATGTTAGATAGATTTATATTTAAATCATAGCATATAAATTAGTAAAGAACTTGGGGCCACGCTGCTTTTAGGGTAATATGAGAAAAATCGGCAAACTTTAGAAGATATGTGTTCAAAATGTAAATCACCACAGATAGGGGAGAAAGTCGACAACCTCTAAAATTAGATGCCCAAAATGTACAATAACCAAAAGAAGGGATACTGGTGGAGAAAATCCAAAAATGTTGTGACAATAGTGTGAAAGTTGACAAAGTTGGGAAAATATGGTGACAAAAGTTTAAAGAAGTTTTTTTTTTTTGTGTTTTCTATGCTAAAATAAAAAATTTTGACTTTAAGGACGAAAAGTGTCAAAGTAACTAAAGATTTGTAGTAAAAACCTAAAGAGATATATATAGACACACACACGCACGCACGCACGCACGAGAGGGTTCACTTGAAATTAAAAAAAAATAGAGATTTTGAGTAGGTATGTCAACGGGGACAAACGGGGCGGTGATTGCATCTCCCGCCCCCACCACATAATTTACATGTTAAAAACAAAAATGTTATCACATTTCAAAAACATTATACTAACAATTTAAAAACATGATTTTTTGACATTTGAAAACTTAAAACCATTGCAATTATTGATTATATTTATTTAATTAATATATATAAATACATATAATATATTAACGGGACCCCCATGGGGGTTCGGGACGGAACTGCCTATCACTACCTCAGTCACATATTTATTATTTTCCACTCTAACGTTTCAACATACCGACAACGACATATGTCTGATGATGAATCATTATATGACAGAGAGGTATAATCATATATGAATATACATGTTTATACATATATGTCTAATCAAATATATATATATATATATATATATATATATATATATATATATATATATATATATATATATATATTCACAAATTAAGTAATCATAAATAATTATAGTGGTTGGTGGCAAAGGAGGTGGTGATGGCAGAGGTGGCTGTGGTATATGTGATAAAGGGAGCAGTGGTGGGTTCGGTTGGTGGCAAATGTGGTGGTAGTGGTGGTGGCTGTTCTGGTAATGGGGAAGGTAGTGGGGGAAGAAAGAACGGACGATGATGAATAATCATTTATGATTATAATTCTTATGCAGCGTCGGTACGCCGGAGCACTAGAGCGGCAAAGGAAAAATATGTAGCTGAAATAAAATCTCAAGATCTCTATTTTTTTCAAAATCTCAACGGAACCTCTCTCTCTCTCTCTCTCTCTCTCTCTCTCTCTATATATATATATATATATATATATATATATATATATATATATATATATATATATATATAAAGAAAGAGAGAGAGAAGAGAGAGAGAGAGGGAGAGAGAGAGAGAGATAGGTTTATGTGTTCTACGTATCTATTGTGTAGATGTAGGTTTGATTGTTGATAAATCAAAATAAAAAAAATATTAAAATACATAAAATAAAGGTAATTAAGTAATTTCATAATTAACTTCTACAAATACTCTGTATAATAATGCTAGTTTAATTGACCTAATTTCTCCCCCTTTTTTTATCTATAGCCGACTACGCCGATCCCTTTAAGTATTACTATCGGTTATCGTCCTCATATCTTCATTTGTGGGCCAAGATCTCGTTATCATCACACAATACTATAGTTTTTTACGTTCTTGACTTCTTTCCCCTTTTTCTTCCTATATCGACGACAAGAATCACAACCATTCAACTGCGACATGCGACACACCTACGCGATTGACGTTGTTTACTCTTCATTTTTCATTTTTTTGGACCTTGAGCACATCTTCCTCGTGTTTATGGACCTCGAGTACGGGTGGAATTATCCCAATTCAGAACTATATAGAAACTATAGGTACACTTTATCCCTATTTTAATCTTTTATTTCTCGCTTTCATTATATGAAGTATCTCAGTTTTTCTATTTTGATTGAGTAAGCTGGCTCTTTTGTATTTGAAGACCAGAATTGTGAGAGTGTGATCTATTTTAGGGGTCGATTCTTTTCTCCTTTCTTTCGAATTTGAATGCTTGTTCTTGTGGGTTGGTTTCAGGGTTTTCAAACAGTAAGGGTGTGGCAATAGAAAAGGTATGTTGTCTCCTTCCCAATATTTGACAGTTTAGAGATCACATTCAGTTCCATTTTTCACGTAACAATTATTACTCCTTGGAGTTGTATATAATAATAAGTAATAAGTATTATATAATAGCTTCAGTTCTAGTTTACAACTCATAGGATGAGCAGTTGCATCACCATTATTAGTTTATTACTCCTTGGAGTTGTATATAATAATAAGTAATAAGTATTATATAATAGCTTCAGTTCTAGTTTACAACTCATAGGATGAGCAGTTGCATCACCATTATTAGTTTATTACTCCTTGGAGTTGTATATAATAATAAGTAATAAGTATTATATAATAGCTTCAGTTCTAGTTTACAACTCATAGGATGAGCAGTTGCATCACCATTATTAGTTTATTATTCCTTGGAGTTGTATATAATAATAAGTAATAAGTATTATATAATAGCTTCAGTTCTAGTTTATAACTCATGGGAGGAGCAGTTGCATCACCCTCTGCTTCCAACCACTATGTCATTAGTAGCTTAGGCAATCATCAATATCTGGGCTAGAAAAGGTATACTTGTACAATATAATTTGAATAATCATAAATTTTTGCATCATTTTACAAGATATCATACGTTTATGCAAAGTCATATATCAACTCCTATCTAATTAGCTTATGTATTTGTATAGTTGTATCCCATCCACATATGTAATGTAAATAACTAGTTCTGTTGTGGATCCATTGATTATTACTATCACTGGGGTTAGAAAATGACAGGTGGTTTGACACACATAAGGGTTTTGTGATAAGGGCTCTTTAACAAATCAAGTAACCTTCATTTCTAAGTGAGTGTTAGATAGTGTTCATTAACTAGACATGTCTCATGTACTCATTTATTTCTTTTTGAAATAATAAAAAGTATTCATGTGTATGGTTGTGAAATCCTTGTCATGCTTTTGTTTGTATAATGCACCTTGCCCCACGAAATTTATGCTAAAGCTCACTGAAACCTACACTGCACATCTAATGATTTATATAAATTAATTTAATATTTCATAAGTTTTTGGTGAATTAGATCTTCACTAGGTTGTGTTATATATGCATTTTTTTATGGCGAATTTTCATCAATTTCTGTATAAACATGCTGTGAAAATGGCGTAATTTGTACAAGCTGGACACAAGAAAGTTTGTGATTATTGGTATTACACCAATTGGTTGTTGTCCAGCTGCACGTGAGTATAATGTTATCGGATGATGATTTCAAGGATGTTCATAATGAAGCAATTGACAAGGTAATGTCTAGTTTCACATATGTAATGACATTTTTAGTATTTAAAAGTAGATTATGTTTTCTTTGTGGGTTTAGGTTTTGAAGAAGAAAAGAAAAAAACATGGAGAATGAGAGTGTATTCTAGCAGAATGTATTCTTCAAATATGGATTTGTTATTCTGTCATAATGGATTAGCGACAATATACTCTCAGAATGTATTAGTGTTTTACTTAGATTTAAAATTTTTTATTTGATTTTTAACCATTCTCAGTTTTATTCTTTTTAAGAATAAATGTAATTGTTAGCCGTTATTAGTCGTATTCTTTCAGAATGAATGTAATTTATGTTCATAATTGTATTCTTTAAGATTGAATGTAATTACTGATTCTATTACTGATTCTTTCAAAATGCATCTATTTTATGTTTATAATTGTATTCTTTAAGAATGAATGTAAATACTGATTCTGAAATATTAAATTTCGTTGCATATAAAATCTGTATTCATTAAAAATTATTAAATTTGATAATATATGTTTACAATATCATGTCAAAATATAATGTTTTTTTCAAGATGATCATGAACACATTCTTTTAGAATATCCTAATTAATATAATTATTATCAAGAAAATTCAGTTTTTTAAAGGTAATAGAATTAATTATTCCTACATCTGCAATTTTCTTTTTTTAAAGTTATGTTAATTGACTAAAATACCCTTACAATGAAATTAGATGATATTTTTCGATTATTTTTTACTCAATAATATTTACTAATCACTTTCTTAAAATAACTAAAATGATTGGTTCATAATCAACCCTACCTTCACACAATAGATATTTAGAATATAATAACCTAGCCATATATATATATATATATATATATATATAATATATATATATATATATATATATATATATATATATATATATATATATATATATTGTCACAACCGCGGCCGAGGCGGCGGAACATGCCGGGCTGTGCCACTATGTTCATAGATCATAGGTAAACAGAATATATATATATATATATATATATCACAAATGCAAGTTTAAAGAAAACAACATTTGTGTTCCATCTTTAGGTTTGAATATAAGGTTCTTATAGATAGTAATAATACATGAATTGCCATAACGGATAGGCAAACATAAGAAAAACTAGTATATTAAATTGCCTGCAATCCATGATATTCCATTGTCTGAATGCTTGAAATTATTGATTCCCTCAGAATACATGTTGTTTCAGAGTCAACCCATTGTTGGTGAGAGTTATAGGTTTTTCTGCTAACAATAGTAAGATACTTTTAAAAAGTCTAAAAAGTATTGTTTTGTAAGATAACCATACTTAAAACAATGTTTGTAAAAATACTTTGAATATGTTTTGGAAACCAAGTTGTGTCTTTGCATAAGTAAACCCATACTTAAAATAGTTTTGAGAACAACCTAGCCCATGGTTTGTAGTAAGAAATAGAGTTTTTAGTTAATGTTTATATTGAGTCTTATAGCCAAGCTATGTGACTAAATGTACCTCTTACAACGCTTCATTGGACGTTGTAGTAATGATAGTCGACACTTATCACCTGCTTTGATTGATCGGTCGAGGTTGTAGCTAGCAACCGCAGGTGGGGATGTCAACCCCGTATAGAGCTATACATACGTATCACGCTCCAAAGATTAACGAATTTATTGAAGATCTACTTTCTCTTTCTTCAAGTTCTATCATTTGTTGAAGATCTAATGGATAAAACAAATTTATTGTTTAACTCCATTTTAGAACTTGGGTTAAAGGTTACTAAACCAATTTATGGTGTTAACAAAGTGACCATGTTTCAAATCAGTGGTCAATATATATTGAATGATATTCCTTAGTTGTATAATCTTCTTGTTGATAAGAAAATATCTAAATACTCATATGTTAATCACCGTGAGTTAAGAGAGAATGAGAGAATAGTAGAACAATATCGTATTATATATGAACATTTAGATCGGGAACATAAATAGATGTTGAAGATAAAAAGGGCTGAAAAAGAAAAAGAAGAAGTTCATGTTGTTCTTTAAGTTTCTGAAGAAAAAGTGAGTCCAGATGTTCTTGTTGAGGGGGAGTCAAGTGTTTCAAGTTTTTCAGAAGCTTCACAATCCGAATCTAGTTGTTCTAAAGATGAATCTCAAAGAAAATCTTTGGAAATCGTGAAAGTAAAGACATCCTATTCTATTGGAACTCAAACAGATGATTCCTTATGTTCTGAAGATGTTTTTTGAAGGAATGACTCCTTACAAAAAGCCAATAATTCAAGATGTTCAGATTTATCAAACTCCTAAGGATTGTGTTCAAAAGTCTTCAAATGTTCAGATTCAGAAAGATGAAAAGGTTGTTCAGATCCGAAATTCGTTTCTGAAGCCTAAAAATAAGAAAAGGAAGAATAAAAGTAAAATAAAGAAAGTTTGGATGCCCAAGATACAAGTGCCCAATGCTTGTGAAAAAGTTGATAAAGTTGAAGTCAAGCATGTTCAAAGAAACTTTAATTCTCATTTTTCTTCAGTTAAAATTATTAGAAGTTGGAAGGAAAAGAAAAGAGAATTCGGTTGGTTTAATGAAATTTTTGGAAATTTTTGTTTTCCAACTAAGAAGCGAGTATTATTTTGAGAAGATGATAGATTTTCTTCAAACAAGAGGGTGTACAAGAAACATTAATCAATGTTGAATTTTAAATGGGTACCAAAAGTCCCATAAAAAGGTTTGTCCTTTGATTAAAAAAAAACGAAGAAGGGACAAAATCTGGTGAAATGTTATGAATATTTGGTCAAAGATATGAAATTATGTTAATGAAATCAATTTTATTGATTTTTTAAGTGTTGGAATTGACAAAAGGCTGAAAAAGTTGAAAATGGGGTGAAAAGTGACATTTTCTGCAAAAAGAAAGCTGTCATCTGACATCTTTCAGCAAAAAGGGTACAAGCTGTCAGTTCTCTGCAATCAAGAGGGTCAGATTCGCATTTATGCAAATATTGGAGTTAGATTCGGAAGTTATTGGTGTAAATTGGTTAGTTTCGCATTTATGGGTAAATTCTGTCATTATAACAAAGTGTGAGGGATGAGTTGTGCGCTCTTTGCCATCTGTTCCTGTGTTCGTTCTTTGCAGTAGAGTTGTCAAACAAGAAGCGAAAGTCTCAACCACAAACGAAACTCAAAATCAAGAACCGAACCTTACTCTGAGAAACGAACTCATAAGCATACAAGCGAAACTCAAGATCAAAAGCAAAAGTCCGTTTCTCACATCAAGCAGCGAAAGTTCGTTTCTCAGGAAGGAAGGAAGGTAATGAAGCGAACGTAGTGAAGCGAAAGTGAAGAAGCCCACTTGCAAAAAAAATTGGAACCGAACGTTCGGTTGCGTTCTCTTTGGGTATGTTTTTGGAGCGAACCTGAGATTCGCTTCCGGTTGACAAGATTTGCATCTTGTATTCTTGTGCTTGGAACGAAAGTGTAACTGGTTGTTGATTTCTTGGTTTCGTGTTTGTATCGGTGTGCTGGGAACGAACTACTTTGATCGGAATTTCTTTTGTTGGAATCAAAATCGTTGTTATTAGAAAGTGGAATCGGAAATCAAAATCAACATCAACATTGAAATTGTGGCAATCTGGAATTGGAATTTCAAGGCTTCAAAATTGAAATCGAAATATTTTTTTTGGAATGAAATCTCAATGTCAAAATCGATTGGAATTGAATGTCAGAATCTGAGAAGACATTCACCAGGACCAGAGTCGGAATCTGTTCATCGTAATAGACATCAATGTTTCGAGCATCAAAATTGAATACGGAATGGGAAATGACTCGGAATCGGATTTTACAAATTAAATCGAAACTTGATATTGGAATCGGAACTTGAATTGATAAAGCGTTCGGTTCAGAACTTGATCTCGAAATCGTTATTAGCAAAACAATCTCATTGAATCATTCAGAAATTGGATGTCATCGGAACGCTGGGAAGTGATCGCAAACTTGATTTTGACTTTTACAAGTCAACAACGTGTGTTAACAGATTGAATGAAGAAGATGACTCAATTAACAGTTTCAGCCCTCGGAAGTTACAAAGATTGGCAGCATTAACCTCGTTTCTAAATCCCTTACAATTCCATGGTTTTAACCATTGGAATTTTTGGATCTTTACAGTTTCTACCCCAGATTCTAAATTCTTTCAATTTCTTGGGATTTTACCACCTTTTACCCATTCTTACCAAAATATTTTCATTTCTAATCCTTTTATTTGGTTTTATTCTTTTCAAACCTTTCTAAAATAAATTGCTTCTTATTCTATTCTTTCGTCTAAATTTAAATATCGGAAAATACAAAATTAATTTTTGTTATTTTTCCGGTTTTAATTTTTGAGAATTGGGTTTATTCTAAAAGGATTTATTTCATCAAATCTGACGGGTTTTGAAGATTGTTGGTGATTCTTCTTAACTTTTCGGATTCTCTCCATGGTATTTGTTGAATATTCAAGGGGGAGTGATGATTATTCAAGGGGGAGTTCGTATTTGGAAGATTATTTTTATTTCTCTCGCTTTGAAGACCCCATGTACTGATGAGTCTCACAATTTAGGGGGAGAAATGCCAAGAAGATCGGAAATCGTGATCTTCATCAGTTTCAACATCTAGGGGGAGATTGTTGAGTATTTGAGATATTGAAACTGATATGGCATATTTGGTTATTTAGGGAAGCCTTTTTAGGGTTAATCATTTTATGATTCCCTACGGTGCCTTTACAGTAGAAGTTCTTAATCGAGCTCTTCTAAGGCATTGGTTTTATATTAAGACATAGATTTTATATTTATGGTATATATTTATTGTTCCCTATAAATAATCATTAGGTTAGATTTTGGTAAAAGCTTTTTTACTAGATTAGGGTTTTTCTCTGTACGTTTATGAGATAATCAATATATGAAAAACCTTTATCAGATTACTTGCATATGATGGTGATTGATTCTTGATTGTTCTTGATATTCCGCATTCGTCATCTCGGATTTATTTCCAACACTAAGTGTTTGGACTTGGCTAATGAATATTGTAACATCCCCCTCTGGCACATGTCACAATATTGTTTGCTTTGGGCTCCGGCGCGAAAACTACCAAAGGGGG